GTGAAGAGACTACTAAACATGAATAGTCTATACTTCTATTTAAAATTGTAATTTGTTCTGTCTTCCTTCATAAGATTAAAACATTTATTCATGTGAAGAGACTACTAAACATGAATAGTCTATACTTCTATTTAAAATTGTAATTTGTTCTGTCTTCCTTCATAAGACTAAAACATTTATTCATGTGGAGAGAATACTAAACATGAATAGTCCATAATTCTATTTAAAATTGTAATATGTTCTGTCTTCCTTCATAAAATTAAAGGAAGACACATTACAATTTTAAATAGAATTATGGACTATTCATGTTTAGTATTCTCTCCAAAAATTAACTGTTGCATGAATGACCTTTTAATGATATTTTCTACTTCATCACATGAATAAATGTTTCAATTTTATGAAGGAAGACTGAACGAATTACAATTTTAAATAGAATTATGGGCTATTCATGTTTAAAATACTGCTTGTTTTACTTTTAGATATTATTATTTAATTAAACGTTTATGGGTCAAGATCATGCTTATGTTTTCTTCTTTACATGTATAGATAAATAATGTTTCATTTCAGTGAGTAATGCTTAAATATTTTGCAACTTGTAGGATACATTTTCATATAATGTTTGGCATAGTTTCAAGCATCTTAATTTTCTGTCCAGACTTCCTATTTTTAGCCACAGCATTGCGGCTTATAGAATGGCTCTGAGGTTTTTTTTTTCAAATACAAACTTCTAGCTCATAGCTCTATCTCTTGACTGATTTGAGATATAATTACAGTCCTTCTTTTGTTGTGCAATCCTTTCTTCCACCTGTGGATACCCCAGACAGTCTTCAGCCTTCCTCATTTCACCATGGAGTCCTTCCTCGCACTTCGGTGGACATTCACTCTGGGTCTTTAAATGATGAAGGTGGACATTGCAGATGCATATGTTCACATCCCTAATTTCTCAACATCTAGATGTTACCTTCGTTTTGTTCACAAGGGTCAAGTTTATTAATTCCATGCTTTGCTGTTTGATCTAACATCCGCACCCTACATATTTTGTCAGGTGGTCAGGACCTTTGTTCGACTTATTCATTTACCTGCTCTGTAGTTCCACTATTATATGGATGACAGGCTGCTGTTAGCTCCATCCCTCAAGACATCTCTCGAGCACACCCAATAACTTCTTTGAGAGGCAACTCAGGTGGGTTGGCTCATTAAGCTGGAGAAATCTTTTTTTACATCAACGCAATACCTTATCCACTTGGGGGTGTTTTTCACCTCCTGTCTCAGTAGGGCCCAACCCTTCTCCACTTCATTTGTGAGTGATGGAGCTATTAGTCCTTAAGGCTCAATCTTCTCCTTCTCTTACTGCATGCGAGGTTCTTTCTCTTTTGGGGACTTGAGCTTCCATAGAAGCCCTTATTCCCTTCAGGTGTGCTTACATGCACACCCTTCAGTGGGTGTTACACAATCAGTGGAGTCTTGTTTGGGATTCTCTGTACTCTGATATCCTTCTCCGTTCCTTACTGCATGCTGATTTAGCCTGGTAGCCCAACAGAGACAACACTATGACGAGTGTTTCTCTTCCACCTTCCCACCCAGAGTTGCATCTTTTTATGGATGCTTCTCTGACATGTTGGGAAGCGATTATGGATTCAGAGGAAATTGCAGGTCATTGATCTTTGGGCAAGTCAGCTATGCACATCAATGTGCTGGAGCTTCTTGCTGTTCGTTGGGCTCTAGATCATTTTCTGTCTTTAATATGAGACAAAGTGGTCATGATCTATTCTGACAATTTAACCATTGTCTCGTATATCAATTGACAATGGAGCATCCATTCAAGTTTGCTTTGTTTCTGGATGTTAGAACTCCTATTCTTGACTGGAAGATAAGTTCTCAATGCTGTCTGGTTTTGAATTTCAGTGAAACACGATGTTGCATTCCCCCTTCCTACCATTGCCTGGATGTCAGTTTATTGAGTGCCTTTATGCCCTGAATGGAATGGCAGGACTTAAGCTTTTTTTCCTTCTACTTCCTTTTGTTGAGGTGAAAACAGTAAGGGCCCTCCTCCTACAACAAACCAGACAATAAATACTCGATGCCACCAGGTTTTGATGTGGTGTTGACCCACTGTTTAAGGTCTGATGCACCCTATCCACTCTACACTATTTGGCACACCCATTTGAGTATTGGATATATTTCCTTTCTGTCCGAATTAGCAACGTATTTTCACAATGGGTGAAGAATATACTTAGTTCAGATGTGGTGTGTTCTCCCACAGGTGTGTTCCTCTGCAGAGGGGTGTTACACTCCATGAGCTCTCTTCAGATGCTTTCCAAAGGGTGCTCATCTAAATTTTGCACCAGTTCCTCCACCAGTTAAGTGTGGGATTCTACCTATTATATGAGTGGAAGTAAGTTATTATATAAGATGTTATAATTTTCCTAAATTAGAATATATTTCTGATAGATATTCCCACTCATTCTCCTCACTTCTGGTGCTTCTTTTTTGCCTAACTTTGAAGTGTAGATTTGGTTCTACAGTATAGAGGGAGCCAGTTGTGGTGGAGGGTTGTCACATACTTATTTGTATGCTACAGTGCAGTTGTACAACATTAAACACATGGGGAGGTGGGAGTATCAAAGTTAATGGCGAACCCAAAAATTTTGCATATAGAGGGCAGCACTGAATGTAAAAGACTATTATGTGAGAGGAGGTAAGTATCTATTGGAAGTACATTTTCAGTTTAGGAAAATTATAACTTCATTAACACTGAATAATGAGAAGCATAAATGCAGCATTATCAATATACCTGCAAAAATATTAAAGTGTGTGTGTGATATAGCACTTTTTGGGAAGATTATTCTCTACTAGCATAGTACAGTTTGTACTTAGTATATCTGTTTTCCATGTATTGTATTTACTTTTGTCTTGAAAACTTTGTACAATGGGTTGAGAATGTTCTAATAAAATGATATTGGAGCCTTAACTTTTTTTTATACTCAATGTCTTCATATCCAGTCATGTTCTGTTTGATGACTATGCATCTTGACAATAGAACTTCAGCATAGTTTTCATTGTAAAATGCTTCTTTCTAAAGCTGGTGGGTCTAAATGTATACCTCATTGCATGCTTTCCATAACCCATCTAATGTACAAGACAGTGATTCATTAGACCTTTCACACAGAAATTCGTAGGTGCTGCATTTAGGAACTTGACCAGTATGACTTCATATGGAATAGCATGTATATTTATTTTAGTCTTCAGTTCAGGTATGTGACAGTTGAATGGGTGGTATGATTCAAAGCCTCATCTTAGTGAACCCCTTACCCTGTTGACTTCATTTCCAGATGGAAATCCTTTCTTTATGTATACAATGACTTTTAGCTACTGACCTTTGTGTTCATTGGTTCTTACCTGTTATAAGATGTCATGCTTTGCTTCTCACAGCTAGGGTACAACATGTTGCAGGTCTCTGGATGATCCTAAGGTCCTACTTTCATCTATATTCCTTTGTTTTCCAATGCCATTAAGTACAAGGGATATCAGTCCTATAGGCATTATTTAATTCTAGAACTCTTTCCAGTTGAATATATTTGTAAAGTTTTAATTTTCAGTGCTACTATTAGCCAATTAGACTAGCTGAAGTCTCATAAAACTAGTTTTATTATGTGAACTACCAAGTAAAATAAGATAGAATTATAGCATTAATATTCTTTTTTATTAAAGAGCACAGACAAAACCAGAGGAAAGGCATAGCCATTTTGATGGGGAAATAAAATCAGAAACAGATGTTTTGGAGGTTCAGAACAGTTGGTGTAATGTTCGTGACTTTGTTCCTAATTTTCAAAGGGTTTCCATCAGTGGTGAAGAAACTTCTGGGGTAAGAATTTTGTCTGCATTTTGTTTTTCTGAAAGTTCAAATATATTACTTTAAACAGTTTAAGGATAACTGTATTTTTCTATATTTGAACTATGACATGGCCATGGCACAGTTACTGTTATTATATAATATTAATAACACTTCTGAGTCCATTTTTAGACAAACATGCAAGATGATTGGTTGTATGATACAATATACATGTTTCAGTATTATATAAAAGCAAAGTAAATGCAATTTGTCATTTAGCCTTTTGAAGAACAGCAGTGTGTGAAACAAATAACCAGGCAGGCTGATATTGCAACATATCAAGACCTCACTGAGGACACTTGGTCAAACCCATGATGTGTGAAGACAATAGGTTAGCTAGAAGATGGTCAAATACAAGTCAATTCAGAGTTTCACAAAGTATGGTTAGAAAGACTTTCTTTCAGGCCACTGATGCTGTTATATAGAAAAATGGGATGAGTAGACCATTGTTGACAAATCTGCAAGACCACTGCTACTTCATAATATTTCTAATAAAACTTCATTCACCAACTTTTGTATCATTGCAATCTCTACAAATGGTCATTCATTATTCAAGTATTGTCACAACTTTTATTACCAAATAGCCAGTACCTTTCCGTTTTTTTCCCTAAAAATAGCCTAAATACTACCTTGAAAAGTTGGTGCAAATCATAAAATACACAAATATTTTTTACACGTTTATAAGATAACACATTCCCCTTTTTCTTCAGTCTCTGTGTCAGCTTCAGACTGGCCTTTATAGGATCTACTGTCTTATCCAATAACGAAATATCGTAATATTAGTTAAGGCCTTGACAAACATCTTCATTAGCACTTTTTCTGGTGATTCTTTCAAAGTCATTGTGTGACTGTAAAATACAAACTATTTAAATCATATTATGTGAACAAATTCTTATCCTCACGTCCACGTATCATTACAGAAAATGTACCACAATACATCAAGTTTATGATTGTCTAATTAAACTACCATACTACTGAGTGCAAGCTGGCTGCTGACCTTGACTAAACTGATGGACAAATCCAACTCAGTCTCCAATGGCTTAAACTAGCCAGATCAGCTTTAACCATAGCTTAATGTTAACCTTTTTACTTCCATAGTTGCACCATATATAATGGTACTTGTACCAGAAAAGTCTGTCACATAACAGGATATGAATATTCCTGCATGTAGTGTTCTGTTAAGCCACAATTGAATTAAGGGCTTCTTCCTTTGTGCTCTTACCATTACTGAGAAATCAATATGTGCTGTGACACCTCTAGCAACTGGACCTGGGAAGCCTTGGGGCCGTAGGTTATCTTGGAGTAGAATTTACAGCTGCATTTATTGTGCTCTGTATGTATGTGTGGGTTATATATTTTTTTTCTTCCTTTTTGTTTCGACTTTCTTATTATTTACATATTTATTAAAATTTATAATGTTTCTTTACTCTAGTAAAATGATTAGTCTTTGATACTTCAGATTTGTTTCATGTAATTATCATATTTACTCTACTCTCAGGTTCCAACTGAAGACTTACACCAGGCGTCAGAGTTTCTAATTGAAGCTTTACTGCTACGAAAGAAATATATGGACCTTTCGAATCAGAATTTCTCTTCTTTAACTTTTCGTTTTTTGCGACAGTTGAAACATGACACTTGGGATACTAGCAATATTTTTATGGAGTCTAACGTGACTGAGACTCTGAGTGGTGAAGGTAAAAGTTAATATATTAATAACATTAAAATTAATGATAGATAACTGTTTTCTTTAACTAGTAAACATAAAATTTGTATGAGATAAAAATTATGTAATCACTGCACTTTAAAGCAAAAAAAAGGAAAAACTTATAACACTTAAAAATGCTAATGATAAATACATATTTTAATATTCACAATGTTTCAGGCCAGAATGCCCTTCCTCTGGTGATTTTAAACTTTGATGGAACAGAAGTCTTGATATCACAGAGGGTTACCAGATATAGAACACTTGAAATGAGCATCATCAAACAGATCTAAAGAAATGTACATGTGAATCACTATTAAGTCAATATTATTTTAAAATTGGATAATATTAACATATACATTATTACATATACATTTATTACCTTGGGCAATGTGGGTAGGCAAAATTTCCAGTTATAGGTTTGTTCATACTATCACAGTAATTTTAAATTGTCAAAGTTTACATTCAAACAAGCCTCTCAGTACTATAGATAGTTACATTTAAAGTAAAAAAAAACCCTTTCCTTTCCCACTGGGGAACAAATGTATGATTTATTAAAAAAAAAAGTAGTTTAAGTTAATTTGTGTGATTTGTTCTTAGTTTAAGTTAAATTGGGTGATTTTACACTTATTTGAACTTTTGTGATGGGAAAGGAAACTAAGTCATCATATTAACTCTTGGGCTACATTATACTATAGAATTTACATCATGTTTTTTTTATTACCCATATTCCCATGAAGATGTAGTTAAACTTGTCTTGGCTATATGAATAATGCATCCCAGAAGAATCACAACAGTTTTCTGGTAGTTATATGTTGTGTACATTACGTGACAGAATTATATGATGACCACAAATCTTAAACAATGTATCAGACCTTCTTAGAAGTTTTGGGGTAAATCCTCATATATCTCCAGTATTCCCTGTTTTTCTTCTGCAGCTGTACTTCCATGTTTAGAGATGATAAAATTTAAAATATAAACTGAATTAATGGTGTTTTTTCTTGTACCCAAAATTTTCTTCCTTGTTTTCCCAGAAAAATCACAACAGTGAATGTCTAAGAAGCCCTAAAAGTTAAGTTATCCCAAGTAAATTTTTAATACTAGTTTCCTTTAAGTTTGTGTCACATACATGTATATATAGATGGATAAATCATATGACAGAGAGCAGTAGGCCTAAAAATGTTGAATAATTGATTGCTGAGTATTGTACTTAAAGATGAAGGAATATGGTGTCATGAAACAAAGTAGTCTATCATGAAATCATACATAACCAGTTTTTGATTCTGACATTATGTGGCAAAAACACCAACATTATAAGAAAATTAAGAAAAAAAAAGAGTTCGTCGCAGGGAATAAACGGCATGGTACTTTGGTGCAGAGTTAATTTTCAATCTTTTTGTTACTTTGAAAAATGTTTGTCAATAAGTTTGTTTTTAGATAAGTCTGTTATCTTTATTGAATGTATAAATTGTAGATCACCCTTACCATGATCCTCCCACGGTGAAAGATCCTTGGACGTGTGTTCTCCCTGAGAGTGCTGGATACCAGCTTAGAATGGAAGATGGTGTAATTCAAGTCTACCCCAGTCTAGATGATATGAAAGATGGACATCGTTGTGATTATCCATTTTTGTCCTTATCAGTTTTTATTCGTGACATGAATTTGATTTGTGCACTGATTGCTGATGGCCCACTGTACGTATCAGTTGAACAAAAAATATCGTTAACTTTTTATATCCTTTGTAATTTATAACTATTATAAATAATTGTTGTGTTTGTGTGTGTCTATATATATATATATATATATATATGTGTGTGCTTAGCAGCAGTTTGGATAAATTTTTTCTGTTTGAATTTGAAGTTATTTTTAATTTACACTGCTTAAAACAATTAAATGATCATCACAGCTTGTAAATTATATAGCTATAGTGACATAAGACCAGTGTTATGTCATATCAACAGCCATTCTTTCTGTCATTTAATTTTTATATAAATCAAGCATCTTATGTTCAGTCATGTGATTGGGAATGCTTATGATTGGCCAATTATGTTATTCTCCTACTTAAACAGATGTAAGTTTACCATTTTACTTCAGTATATAGTTTGGTCACCTTGAACAGAAAGAGCAGCTTGTCACCAATGTTACGTGCATCAAAACAGAATGTTGATAAGTTTCTCAGTTATCTGTATTCATTCTCCAATTTTCAAGGCATTTTTAGTGTATCTGGTCACTTAATGGAATGTGATGAGTCTCCCTACGCATCCCATATATGGTATTTAAGTCTAGTGGGTGTGAAGGTCATTCCGTTCATTCACGCCCTTCTTTAAAAAATGTGTTAACTACTTTAGTTGTTGTGATCTACTAGGCTGAAGTTAGGGTGAGTTGTAGCATAAAGGATTGTAGTAATGGCTTTAACTCCTATAGTTCTGCAGGATTTCCTCTTCAGTCGAAAACTCTAAACTAGTATCCATATAAAATTTGGTACTGTTCTGGTAGCGTGGGTTTATTATAAATTCACTTCAAGGAATATTTATGCCATCACCATTTAACTAGTTTTCATAGGGAAATTAAGTTTTTGCAAAGAATGTCTCATATTTAAAGACTTCATCAGAATGATTTTTCTCTTGGTTGCAGAGATATTTCTCACACCTAGGGCTATGTGGTTGACTTTGTATGGTATTAGGATCCATATCTAAAGGCTGTAATATTAAATTGGAATTTTTAGCTTAAAGATATAATGGCAACAGTATGTCTCAACTTTAAGCTTGCTTGTGTACTTTTTCACAATTGCATTTTCACTTTAAACTCCTTATCATATTTCTCTATTTTTTTCAAGATTCCTATTCCCCTGCCCCCCAATGGCACAGCGATATGTCTTCAGACTTACAACGTTAGAAACCGGGTTTCGATATCCGTGGTTGACAGAGTACAGATAGCCCATTGCGTAGCTTTGTGCTTAATTACAAACACACATACAAACCCAATTCCTCCTTTCTAAATTAACAATTTTTAATAATCTCGGTATTTAATGAGATTTTCGGGCTGCAGCAAATGAAATATTGTTTGGAAAGTTTAATTGTATAATCTCTATATATCATTTTCAAAATTTGGAAATAAACTGATATAGTAACATTTTTGTTGCTTTAGATAAACTTATCATATTGTGACAAGTGAATTAACAGAGCTTTAGGAAACAGACAATTAATTAACATTATATTTGAATGTTTTAAAATATGTAAAAGCATGGAAAAGTAAAATAGTTCTTATTCTGTTGTTAGGAAATCATTCTGTTATCGAAGATTAAGTTACTTGTCATCCAAGTATCAGTTGCATGTACTACTAAATGAGCTACGAGAACTGGCAGCTCAAAAAGCTGCTCCTCACCGAGATTTCTATAACATAAGAAAAGTAAGAAATAATCATTATATCAGAGTTTATTTTTATTATCTTAACCTTCTTTACAATACCATTTTAAACTTAATTTACTTATTTATTGATAATGTTCTAACTTCATCATGAAAGATAATATTTGACAGAAAATTTTTCTACTTTTGTAAAAGTTTGTGTAGATTATAATTGCTAAATTGAGGTTTATAATATCTTTGTAACACTATTGGCATTTCTTGTTAATGTTTATTATTTCCAGATGATGGTCACATGATTTTGTTTTGAAATTAGTTTATCATTTAGTGAACAAGCTAAGAAAACTAGTGAAACCTGAAGAAAAACACATTGAAATAATTCTAATTAAATGTAGCACATACAAAAACATTTTATGAAAAGTAAAAATAAATGTGAAATATAATTATTTATGTCAGGATTCTAAATATTTGATCTACTATGATCTGTGTTTTATTGTTAATTTGTCTTAGCTGAGTTGTATTTCAGTGAGTGGGTTTTATAAATGCCTTCATTATTTTGTATGGATGAATATTTAATAATGATTTTTAACTTTTCACACTAGGTGGATACTCATATTCATGCTTCTTCGTGTATGAATCAAAAACATTTGCTGCGTTTTATTAAGAAGAAAATTAAAACTAACCACGAAGATATTGTTTGTGAAAAAGATGGGGTTTTGATGACTCTTGACATGGTAATTATTCTTATTACTAAGTTAGGCAGAAACTCATTAATCACCTTTTTTTAATTGATCTAATTTAGTATAATTGTAATAACAGTGATTGGATACAATAAATGGTTTTTGAGATCCATAATGGTGCAAATAAAGGATAACAAAATATATAGGGTTTCTCTGGGCTCAAAATTTATTTCTTTGTAACAGTTAAGCCTGAATAAGTCTGCAGTAAAGCACTCAAAAGCTTGCTAAGAAAGATGAACTTAATGCAGAGAAACCACATGTTCGATAAGGTCATGGAGTAAAAAGTTATTACTGTATATAACCAAAGAAGTAGAGTTAAGACTGTTGCACCATAATTGCTAGTACAGTGAGAATACTTGTTATTAATCTTTGCTATTTCTAGTATGAAATAATGGTTTTGTTGTAAGCGGTGATTATTTTAGAAAAATAGCATACTTAATTTAATTGTGTATATCAGTTGTGGCATTAGTAAAATTAATAGCTACTGTGCAGATAAAGCTCATTTCTAACGTGTGGTCAGTTGTTATTGGAACACCGTAGCAGGACGAGAAAAATAATTATAATTTGAAAACAAGAAGTAATTTTTAATTATATATCGTAACTTTAGATACAAAATAATCTTTTAATGACTTAGTTTGCCGAGGAAATGTTTATACGTCAGTCGGGCTTTACCTCATGCCATTTAGCATTCATTAATTCATAGAAAACTTTCAGTTCTAAATGTTGTTAATGTGTGTATATGTAGTATCATTCTTCCTCTCAATGAACGAGTATGACTTGGTAACAAAGACTAATAACTTACCTTTTCTTTAACATTATATCATCTATCAGTTAGAAAAAAATAGTCTATTTTTTTTTGTTTATACTTGTTGTTTGGAAGTTTGTGATTTAGAATATACAATCTATCAATAGAGAAAAAGAATACACAGTAAAATAGATCACTAAATCAAACACAGTAAATAGCTATCTGTCCAACATTTTAATTATACCAACATTATCATTCCTAAAAGAACAAATCTCAATTTTAACCATTATTAATAAAAGCAAAAAAAAAGTACAAATAACCAACTGTGGTTTTTATTGTGTCTGTTTAGCTTCAGTATGATAAGAACACTGGTTATAGGTATGATTTAGGCTCTAATTAAAACAGGGTTAAATTGTATAATTAAAACTGGCTGTCTTCAGGTAAGTGGAAATTCTGTATTAATTAACCTTGAGAAGCTTGATTTTATTATTCTAAATATACATGTTAATTATGTACAATTCATTAGAATTGTACAAAATATTAGATTTTAGTCAATCCAGTTTCATTTGTGAAAGCTTGAAGTGATAATTAACAATTATTAGTAAACAAAGTGTGATGATGTTTTTTGAAATAGACAATTTAACTCTTAAACATGTAGTTGTAGATCTATATTTCAACTTTATCTGAAAAAGAAAAGTTAAAACTATTTGTATAAACACCATAGTCTTCATTATTATAAGGAACTGATTTTATGAGATAGTAATGTAGTATTTTTCTTATCTTTAGGTGTTCAAGTCACTAAATGTGACAGCATATGATCTCAGTGTAGACATACTGGATGTTCATGCAGTGAGTAGAAGTCTTGACTTTCCTCGGAAGATATTGTGTGTAAATCAGAAATATATCATTTATTGTTTTTGTCTTAATATTAGTTGTCAAAGGATGAATTATAAAAACTTTTTGTGATATTATGGAAGCCACATTATATCTTCTACATGCCATTTATAATCACAATCGTCAGTAATTTTTATCTCCAATTGTTTTCATATATTTCAGGATCGAAACACCTTTCATAGGTTCGACAAATTCAATGCTAAATACAATCCCATTGGGGAGAGCAGCCTTAGAGAAATTTTTCTTAAAACTGATAACTACATCAATGGCAACTACTTTGCATCAATTTTGAAGGTAAGCTAATACACTGATGTATGAAGCTAGTAGTTAAAACACATAGTTCATTAAAACCAATTAGTCTTGTTAACTTTGTTTTCAGTTGTTTGCAAAAGCAACAATCAAAGCCATATCAAAGGCTAATAAAGATAATTATGTACTGTTTTATGTTTAAGAATGCTTCTACACATTAGTCTGCATGAAGGTATGAGAAGAAAGAAAATTTATGGTATGTAATTTTGTACCTTCATTTAATGAAATAACTGGTGGAAAGTATTGAAAAATCATTTCTTATAAAAAAAAAATTAGACTTTTTTTTTCTGTTGTGATTTCATATTTACTTGAAGTGAGAAAAATTTTTCAGTATCACGTTTTCTTATAATATTTGCTCTAGCATTGTTTCTAACCTGAAAAACATAGAGAATGCAATAAAATATTAGCATTAAAGTTACATTATTTTATTGTTAAAAGGTAACAAAAGTCTTGAATTTTAGATGAAATTTTTACTCAAATACATTTAAGAAGTAAATTTTATTAAATAGTTCTAATTATCTTGTAAACATTTTATTTCATTTGCTACAAGAAATAGTTTGCACTAAAAATTTTTTTAGCATTAATTTCTATTTTTTTCCCTCCCTGAAGGTTAAAACCATTTTGTTGTAAATTTTGGATGATACGGTGTAGTAAAACTTTTTAATCTTAAAATTGTTATTATTGCGTTACAGGAAGTGATGTTTGATCTGGAGGAAAGCAAATATCAGAATGCCGAGTTGCGATTATCCGTATATGGTAGGGAGAGGGATGAATGGGACCGTCTAGCTAAATGGGCTGTTGATAACAATGTATACTCTGACAATGTCAGGTGGCTAATCCAAGTTCCTCGGCTTTAGTAAGTCCTGAATGCAATATTTTCTCATCTAATTGTTTAATCCATTAAACATGATGTGTGGAAAACTAGAGCAGGTGTCATTTCTGTTAAACTTCATCTTATTGAGAAACCAGCTGAAAGCTGCGTATGGATATAACCAATTCTCGCTCATCTTTTACATATGTATACCTGTACCATGATTTATTATTTAAAGCACAGTGACGTCATCAGTTTTGTTTTTTGTAATATTATTGATGTAGCTTGCTTTTTACTGTAACTGTCTTTCAAAATTGATGTTTCATAACTACTGCACCTGTTGAAGAACAATCATCATCATACAGCAAGATGAAAAGTAGAAGAGTTGATAAGGTAGTATGTAATATGTGATATCTCTTCACAAGAAGACCAATCTGATAATGATACGTAACATGTGATATCACTTCACAAGAAGACCAATCTGATAATGATACGTAACATGTGACATTACTTCAGAAAAAAGACCAATCTGATAATGATACGTAACGTGTGATATCTCTTCACAAGAAGACCAATCTGATAATGATACGTAACATGTGATATCTCTTCACAAGAAGACCAATCTGATAATGGATAATGATACGTAAAGTGTGATATCACTTCACAAGAAGACCAATCTGATAATGATACGTAACGTGTGATATCACTTCACAAGAAGACCAATCTGATAATGATACGTAACGTGTGATATCACTTCACAAGAAGAAGACCAATCTGATAATGATACGTAACGTGTGATATCACTTCACAAGAAGAAGACCAATCTGATAATGATACATAACGTGTGATATCACTTCACAAGAAGAAGACCAATCTGATAATGATACGTAACGTGTGATATTACTTCACAAGAAGACCAATCTTATAATGATACATAACGTGTGATATTACTTCACAAGAAGACCAATCTGATAATGATACGTAATGTGTGATATTACTTCACAAGAAGACCAATTTGATAATGATACATAACGTGTGATATTACTTCACAAAAAGACCAATCTGATAATGATATGCAACGTGTGATATTACTTCACAAAAAGACCAATCTAATAATGATTCACAAGTCATCATTCTTCAGCAACCAAATGTGCACTTCCATTGTGAAGTGTTTGTAATGTTATACTACACCCAATTTGTTGCAAGTCATTGCTGATGAGGCCTTTCGTGCAATAGCAGAATTTAATAGGTAAGCTAGAATATAATATGTAAAGTTAAAGTTGAAATCCTATTTATATCAATGATCTATAAGATTTTCAGGTGTTTGGTGTAGCACATCTAAACTGATGAAGCATGATCCATTATGACAGGAAATATTATTATTAGCAAGGTTTCCTAATTGATAAAACAATGCATTCTAACCCTTACAAGTAGAAATGTAACAAATATTTTTTATTTATTATACTGATTACCAGGTTGATTTTTGGTTTCTCTCTAAGTACATATCTTGTTATAATTGAAAATTAATATCATTGGGTGAAATCTTATGATATTACATCACAATCAGTGATAATAGCTTGAATCAGATTATTTCAAGAGGCCCAGTGTATGTGCTTCCACTAAGAAGTGTATATAATAACACTTCAAGTATTCCAAATTTGATTTAAGCCACCAGCAACATGGTCTATTGGTCAGTTTTAGGGTTACATCGTTGAATATTGGTTGAAATGCCGTTTATGTCGGTCATCAAGCCCTGTGTGGTATGCTTAAACTTGCAAATCATGATTTTTTTTTTAGTAGGTAGTATATGAAATTATATCAAAACACAATGAAACTGACAGTAATTTAAATAGTTATTCTTTACTGGTCTGATGTAGATTTCCAGTAAGAAGGGTGTTCATAAGTTTGGCAGGCGTGTCACTTGATGTATCGAATATTTTCAGTTGACTAGCCAACTTACGGCTAATTTTTTTACCATTTTCAACTTTTTTTGAAGTATCTCATTAAATACTTTTGACAAATAATGAAGTGATCTAATGACAGAAGGAATGTTTTTGTAGGGTTGTTTAGTCCCAACCAATAGGTAGTAGTCTGCGTTACTGCCATAAGCTATCCCTAACAGTTAGGTTGAATATTATGGCAGGATAATACATTGTTACTTTCATAAAGTAAAAAAAAAACATCAATTATAATGTTATGAATGGCAATACAATTGTTAAAAAAATTACTTATACATATTTTTCTTATTTATATTTCTATAAAAATCGGAAAGAATGCAGTTTTTTTTGGGGTGTTGTTGTTGGTGAAGAATTTGTCAGAAGGGAAATTCTGTTAGATATCAATACTAAAACTTTTCTATAGAAAGTGTTTTGTGGGATTGTTGTCAGTGATGTTTTTAATTACATTGAATATTCTGTATTGGTTTTTAAACAGGAAATTGAGAGTTTTTGTTCGACCATTTTGTTTCTGATCTAATAAAACAAAACCACGTTTAATGGAAAATCCAAAACATTTTATAAAAGATTTTACTCCCCATCAAAATGGTAAAAGAGCTAAAGCCAAATTCAAGTATTGTTTGGTTGAGTGTGTGTGACACATGTTGACTATAGGATAAAACATTTATTAACTTATTGCCCTATGACTATGAAGGAGAGAAGTCAAGAGAAGCAACAGACCAAAGACTATAGTAGTCATGCTGTCATTACAAAAGTATTTATGCATATACAAACAACATTTCAGATGAAATTTAATCTGTCATTGTCTAGCTGGCTGATAAGTTCTGGTATTGAATGAAAAGCCTTCTGGGAGACAACAGATAGATTTTAAATCCTGATTTTACACACCACTGATGTGTCTCAAGAGTTGCTAGATTTCTTAAAAAACAACAAACACCATTTTGAAGTGCCAACTAATCCAGTATAACACACCATAAACATTCGGTAAACCTTACACAACATGTTCATTGTCTTAAAGATCTTCAAACAAGGATCAGCAGTCAGGAATTTCTGGTTTTTGTCCTAGGGATGTCTATTCAGATTTCCTCAATGAGGATGGGTGTGAAAGACGTTGGCTAACTTTAAAATGTCTTATTACAAAGCCATGTGAGATTCTGTTGCTGCTGTGGAATTAAAGAACCACTCTCTTAACTCTTTCAGCACTGGCTTGGGACCAACCTCGTAATTATTTTGTGCTTGTTATAGTTTTCATACTATAAATTTTAAATTAGTAAGCAAATGTTAACAAAATTTGGCAGATTATCAGTAAACATTACAATGCTTTAATATGCAAAATATCCAATTTTGTTTATTAAGTCTTAAGGTTTATAAAGTAATGTTTTCTCATGTCTGTTTTTCTTTTTGCATGTTGCCTGTCTATCATGCAAAGTAATATT